TGGCATGTACGCAGGATTTTATCCAAATCAAACCGTCGACAAGTACATGTTTTCTCCGTTAAATTGACAACATGTGCAGATGTTGTGCCTAAAACCTCTGCACGATGCTGATCAATCTCTTGCACAGGTAAGAGTTTAGCATCTTCAACTCTAGCCTGTCGGCAAGGAATTATTCAGAAGTTATATAAGTCTACCACATAGAAGTAATAACTCTACCAAATAATTGAAAGTCTACTAAATAGCAGAGATAAGTGTACCAAGTCTACCAAATAATAGAAAGTCTACCTAATAGCAGATACGAGTCTACCACATAGAAGTAATAACTCTACCAAATAATTGAAAGTCTACTAAATAGCAAAAGATAAGTGTGCCAAGTCTACCAAATAATAGAAAGTCTACCTAATAGCAGATACAAGTCTACCAAATAATAGAAAGTCTACAAGGTAAAGTAGTGTCTACCTCCAGCAACTTTTCAACGCCCGTTGTTAGAGTGGTAGCCATGTTATTGGCATTCACACATCTTTTAGCAAACCACCTGGTCAGGAGACTCCTTATATCATCCACTAGTCGTACGATAGGCTTACCTCTTGCAGCAGATAGCACCTTGTTTAATGACTCCGCTATGTTGCTAGTGGTGAAATTGTACCTATCACCTTGGAAGTGTACACGACTCCACATACAAATATCTGTCTTCACCAAGTATGCATGCAGTGCAGGATTTGCCTCTTGAATCTGAGCAAAAAGGGCATTGAACTCGAGAAGTCTATAAGCAGTGGCAGCCTTCTTAACAAGCTTGAATGTTTCAGCGCCTCTGAATTTCACCATAATGTTCTTATGGAGATGATATGTACAAATACCCCGACTAGCAAGAGGATAAACCTTCCCTATAGCATTTCCTATGGATTTATGCCTATCAGAAATAATGGCAAGTCCTTCATCATCAGGAATAACACGGTGTAGTTGTGTAAAAACCATTCCCAAGACTCATCGTTCTCAGTATCAACAACAGCAAAGGCTACGGGAAAAATGTTGAAGTTTCCATCTTGCGTGGTGGCGAGTAGTAGGGTACCTTTGTATTTTCCATGTAAAAACGTACCGTCGACCACTACCACTTTCCTCATGAAGGGAAACCCCTGTATGCTTGCGCCAAATGAGAGGAACATAAATTTGAATCTATCTTCCTCATCAACTTCTAGCTTGATTAGTGTACCCGGATTTGCTCGCCGAATCATATATAAGTATGAAGGCAGATCTTCATAACCACTTTCAGACGTCCCTGATACTAGTTCTCGAGCATACTTTAGGGCCCGATGTGCTTTCCAATAGTCAACCTTATAATGAGAAATAATATAGTGACGTCTACGAAATAAGATAATAACTCTACCACAAAAATTATAACTCTACCATGGTAGATAATAACTCTACCAAATAAATTATATAAGTCTACCAAATAAATTATATAAGTCTACCAATTGAGCTAATAACTCTACCAAAAATTAAAAAAAGTCTACCAATTGAGCTAATAACTCTACCAAAAAATAAATAGTCTACCAATTGAGCTAATAACTCTACCAAAATAATAAAAGTCTACTCAAAGAGATAATAACTCTACCAAAGAAATAATATAACTCTACCACATACCTTTATACTATATCGTTTGGTCAGAGCTTCGGCGACGTGATTTGGTAAGACTTTTGGGCCAACACCGCCGACGAAGTCTTTATATAGACGGCCTAGAACCTCATGGGTTGCATGGCGGGTGCGTTGTGATCGCACAGTCACAGAACACGTGTGTTCTCGAGTATAAGTTTTAACCCAAAAACATTTGCTGCTCCCAACAGTTGAAGCGCGAACCCTCCATTTGCAACCATCTACCCAACACTTAACAGTTAGCAATTTCTTACTCGAATGATCGACATTGTAGTCGAATTTGTGAGCAATGGAAAGAATTTTGAGTCGCATCTCGAAGTCCTCTTTTGTTTCATAACGCTGGCCAACGGCTAAGTCTAAAGATGAAAGCTCTAGACTTTGAAAGTCGGGAATTGTAGTCGGTCCCCTTTTCTTCGGTGGTAGATTTAGCGACTCCTCCTCATCTGAACTTTCACCATCTGGACGTTTCTCACGTTTTCCGTACTCTTCGTCATCGGAACTTGCACCATCAGGATCTTCACATCCATCAAATCTGGTTGACAAATCCTCTTCTTCATCATGCATTTCTTCGTCTTGTCCAACTTCGACACCTTCTTGCGGACGATCTTGGCGCACTTGTTCTTCAGGGAATAGACTAGGACATGCATCTCGATCTTCGTCTTCATCAACAACTCCCTTCTGAACTTTTTCTTTGATATCAACACATAAACGAACCGTTTCGTTTTCGTTCTGGAATTGATGCAAAAAACTCTGCAGCTGTCTTGAATTACCAACAAACACAGGAGGTGTATCCAGAGGTAATTTCCGCCGGACTTCAGACGACAACATATAGCTGAACTGAAGCTCATAAAGATGTTGATCCAACCCAAAATCTTCATATGCGATTTCAACCAAATCGGCAAATGACGTTTTGCGGTCTATCCCTATAAAACTACATCTCCTGGACTGATCTACGATGAAGACCCACCTCGTTTTCTTTAAAACCCAGTTACCACAAACCAAAACAACTTGATCCATGAATATAAAAGTGGATAAGAGGCAGAAGATCGAAGTAGAAGGAAAAAATCAAGAGTTATCCCAAGTTTAACAGCTCGACGGCGAAACCTAGAGGTTGAAGATGGACTCTGGTTTTGTTCCGTACTTTAGACAATACATACAGGGCAAAAAAGTAAAATCGCACTGCCCGATAACTAAGTCTACCACATTGATATTGAATCTAACAATTTACAAACAAATCTACCATATAGGTTACTAAGTCTACCATTAATAAAACATATGTACTTGTAATGTTTATAGCTCTACCAACTAAAGTACAGTACATTTAAGCAGGTGGAAAACCAGTACAAGTCCGTTTCCTTATGTTTAGTAGATTTATATTAAGTCGAATGGTAGACTTATATTATATTGTTGGTAGATTTGTTGTAAAAGACTTGTCATGTTCCCAATTTCAGTCGAACGAATGGTAGACTTATATTATATTGTTGGTAGATTTGTTGTAAAAGACTTGTCATGTCCCCAATTTCAGTCGAACGAATGGTAGACTTATTATTATTTTTGGTAGATTTGTTATAATTAATAGCTTTCGAAATGAATAACACATAAATCTACTTAACACAACATAAATAACACAACATAACTTCATAAGTCTACTTCATAATAAAAACAAATCTACTTAACTAAACAGAAGTCTTTTTGACGACTATTGATGCAATCAACGTGGCCAATCCATAGCAAACGACGGTACTACCCACCAGAAATTGGCACACTCCAATTTCCAGAAGCAGGATTCACAAAGTTGATCCCCATACGTCTCTAGCAGGTATTCATCTCCCATCCATTGCATGTCTGGTACTTTGAGACAACCACAAATCCTTGTAGTTAAAGACTTTTTATAAGCCTCGAAAACCATTTCCACCAGTTTCTCGGGCTTCTGGAAATTGAACGCAGGCATGAAGATCTTTTCCATTGCCAATCTCATTTGCTTTGCATCTTCCCGGGAGAGAGCTTTGACAGAGTTGAATACCTCTGATGTGCCATCCATGGTTAGATGTAACATAGTGTGGCAGTACTTACCCATGAGAAATCCGTTGTCTGATGCCATTCGAATGAGATCACACCCTGCTTGGAGGTTATGTTTGAAGAAAATCAGCGATAAACCTCTTCGCAATTGTGCGGATGGATTTCCTGCCGCCAAGCACCGTCTGAAGAATGCACCGACCTTTCCGTGAACATCCCACCTCCACGGCAAGATAATGTTGATTAAATCAACATTCCTAAGAAAACCCGCTTCGTTAGAGATGTTGTTAAGTGTTTTGGATGAAACTTTTGCAAGACAAAGATCCGCATACGAGTTTGAAGATATTTTCAACAATATCTCGTACAAAAGATCAGAAGGAAGCGACTCGAGATTCGCCATAGGGTTTAGAGGGATGGGAAATGAATCGTAAAACTAGGTTGTGGTATTTATAGAGAACTCACACGAGAACTTGAAGCGACTCGAGTCAATAGAAGTTCTCGAAATCGAAGCGACTCGAGTCAATAGAAGTTCTCGAAATCGATGCGACTGTTCGTTGGAAAATGCATAAGTCTACCATATGCGACGGTTCGTTGGTAACGGTTTATGGTTACCGTTACCATAAGTCTACCATATGGAAGAAAATTGCAAGACGTACAACACTGAAACCATAAGTCTACCAAACAGTAGGTTTTTTTGTAGATAGAACAATTCTTTTGGACAAAAAAGAAATTTTTACTCCATAAAGTCAAATGTCTGCCAAACATTAAATACTAAGTCTACCTCAACCATGACAAATAACTCTACCATATAAACAAGTCTACCATAAGCATGTCATATGTCTACCAGATCAAGGTTAACTCTGTAAATACCAAACTTAATTAATCTACCACATTGTTATTTCAACAAGTCTACCATACGACAGATAAGTCTACCAGATTACATAAACTCTACCAAACATACAAACAAATCTACCAACATCTTGTAAGTCTACTTCATGTCATTATTAATCTACCACAAATCAGAATGAAATTTTTTAAAAATATAAGTCTACCACAAAACAAATAAATCTACCAACAGTTTTTAAGTCTACCTAATGTAAAATATAGTCTACCACTAACCGGAATGAATTTTAACTGAATTAAATCTACTACAAGTCAAACAAATCTACCACAAAAGCGAAAACTCTACCAATTATATATAACTCTACCATGAAACAGATAAGTCTACCGCACGTATTGACAACTTTTTTCACATAAATCTACCGCTAAAGGAAATAAGTCTACCAACTCAGAAAATAAATCTACTTCATTGTCAATAAATCTACCGAAAAAGTCAACTATGCGAGAAAGTCAACGTTTTTGTTAACAAGTCTACCAAAACTTTTGACAAGTCTACCATTCATAACAACAAATCTACCGAAACATAATAAATCTACCTCTCATCGTCAAAACTCTACCAAGAAAAGTCTACCAACATTTAAAAACTCTACCAACTCTTGAATAAATCTACCATCGCCCTAATAACTCTACCAACAAAATTTCTGCGTTGACCAAAATTTCATAAGTCTACCACAAAGCTTGGTAGACTTATGAAATTTTTAGCGCCAGAATCTGCCTACGTGGCATTAAAAAAGTAATGGCATTTTCGTAATAAGGGTTTTTTCAACAAATGCCAAAAGGGTGTTTTGGGTATGCTAGGTTAGTTTTGTAAAAAAAATAAAAGTGCGTCGAACCAGTAATATAGATACTTTCTAAGGTTAGTGTAGTAATCCTCCCTTTATTATTTTGTTTTATTTGTTTTGGTGTACTTTTAAAAAATTGAACTACCAAGAAGTATATATAGAACTAAAATCATAAGTTTTGACTTCAAAATTATCTTTATTAATATATATATATAAAGAATATATTGTGAAATTTAATGGATTGGTTGACCAACAAACGTTTTGGATTTAGAAAAAAGGGGGCACAGGCTTTGGAGAGATGCGTTACACGCGTGAGCGTGAATCAAGACTCTCTTTCGTACAGTTGCAGACTGAAATCGCTTAGGACACTATGCTAGAATGTTCTTAGGGTTTAAATATCATTCGGTCATATTTCTAAAAGTTTCAAATACTCTCATTTATTGGAATTATCAAATATATCCTTAATGAAATTAATTTTATATTATATTTTTTTGTGTTTTCTGAATATTATAAATAAAAGAAAAATAAATGAGAAACAAAAATGAGAAACAAAAAAAAACAAAAAACCCGTAGCTGAGCTTCTTCTTCTTCAATACCTCCTTCATATTTTCCCTCTCCACTGCATGAAGCGGATTCCGCTAACAATTATTGAAGCTGAGTATTTTTATTGTCAAGTATGTTATTAGTTGAAAAAAATGTACACAAATCCTTTGAATGCAGATTTTATTTGGGAATTTTTGTTTTTGGAAAGAACAACTGCAGGTTTTGATTTTTGGATGAATTATTGAAGCGTCTGTTGATTGTTATTGAACTTGTATTCATCTCCACTATCTGGGTCGATTAGAATATATGTTTGGTTGAATTGCATTATATCGAAACAGATTGTATTTTCTCAGGATTTGGTTTGATTGTTGGATCGGTAAATACGAACATCCACTCCAGATTTGGTATTACTGTTAAAACTATGTATTACTAAGATTGATGGAATAACTGTAACAACTGGGTAATACTGAGACTACTGGAATTACTATAATGGAATAACTGGTACAACTGGGAAATACTATGACTGAGACTAGTAGTGGTGCCGATTAGTAATATCAGTTTTCCCAATTGTGCCGTTTTTCAAAATTTCATAAGGACTTCAGTTTTGGCCGATTAGTAATACCAGTTTTCCCAGTTGTGCGATTTTCAAATTTGTTCTAAATATGTTTTGGCCGATTAGTAATACCAGTTTTTCCAGTTGTGCCGTTTTCAAATTGGTTGTAATTCTGTCTTGGCCGATTAGTAATACCAGTTTTCCAAGTTTTCCCAGTTGTGCCGTTTTCTAAGATTGGACCGATGATTACTGAGACTATTCGAATTACTGTAATGGAATAACTGGTACAACTGGGAAATACTAGTAGTATAACTGGTACAAATATGTATTACTGAATCATTTTATAATTATTTTTTGCAGGATTCAATGACCAAGGGTTCCATAATCATTAATTTTACTACTGGAGGATATACCAATGATGACTACCGATGGAAAGCAAAAGAAACATTGCATGTACTTGATAACATTCAGAGCAACATCTGTAGAAGAGATAACATATAAATTGTTAGTGGAAAAGATATGCGAGAAGATTGGGGTAGTTGAAAACACAACGAAACTTGAATTGAGTTTTCTTCCGGTGCTAGTGAATGATAGTTTTCCTGTTTATGTGGATTGCGATGACGATGTTTATGGATATTTTTCCGTTGTGGATGATCGTGGCTGTAGAAATGGTCTGCAGGTGGAAGTCATAGAAGATCCGTGGGGATGTGGATATAGTTCATTTGGTGTGAATTATGGAGGTGATGGTAGTGCCATTATTGCACAGTTGGAAATGAGGGAGATAAAGCTTAACAAGAAGAGGCGACTGAGGATATCATAGTTGAAAATGATAATGCGTCACATGCTATGATAATGCATCATGTGGATAACAATGGTGATGACGGTGGGGAGAACAATGGTGGTGACAGTGGGGAGAACAATTCTGATGACGATGGGGAAAATAATTGTGAGGACGATGGAGGGAATAGTTCTGATGACGGGATGGATAACAGTTTTGATGGTGGGGTAGATAGGGGTGCGATAGTTGAAATTGAGGAGTTCCCACGTCCTTCTCAAGGAAGCCAGTCAATAGAAGCACGGGAAGATGGGACAGGCCTGGAGTTAAGACAAGAGTTTGAATCCAAGAAAACTGTGATAGATTTAGTTCGGAGAGTTTCATTTAGTAAATGTTTTGGGATCTCACTTAAGAACTCGGATAAAAACGGTGGGTGGTGAAATGTGCTGCTGAAAAAAAGGTTGTGCTTGGCATATTCGAGTAGTGAAAGGTGCAAAATCAGGATTTTTCAAAGTTACCAGATATAATAAAATGCATACATGCTATCGGGTGTCATGTAGTGGCTACGCTAGCACAAGAGGCACAAAAAGATTGGTTGCATCTTTGGTAAAGGAAAAGTGTGCAAGTCAGTTGTAGACCACAACACCAGCTGAAATTATGACTTTGCTTCAAACAGAGGTCGGTGTGTCAGTGTCTTATGCTACTGCATGGAGAAGGAGAAATATAGCTCGTAATGAAGTGATTGGGGATCCAGAGGAGAGTTTCTTGTTGCTGCCTTCTTACTTATACATGCTGGAGCAAGCTAATCCTGGAACAAAAATGAAATTATGTTTAGACGGTGAAGAGAGGTGCAAGTACTTTTTTGTCGCACTTGGACCTTGCATGGAAGGGTTTGAAGGAATGAGGAAAGTTATTATTGTAGATGCAACATTTCTGAAGGCTGGCTATAATGGTGTTTTAGTTATTGCAACAGCTCAAGACCCTAATCATCACCATTACCCTCTTGCATTTGGTGTTATTGATGGTGAAAAAGATGCAAGTTGGAATTGGTTTTTCGAAAGGTTGAAAACCATTTTTCCAGATAATAGTGAGTTGGTTTTTGTAACTGACCGTAATCAAAGTTTAGTTAAAGCGGTTGGCGAAGTGTACCCGAGGGCTCAACATGGCTTTTGTATATATCATATGTCGCAAAATGTGAAATCTCATGTTTATTATGTGGACAAAGAGGAGGCCGCTAAAAAATTCAGAGAGTGCGCAAGGGTGTACACAGAAGCTGAGTTCCTACAAAAGTATGATGAATTTAAAAGGAGGTACCCAACCACTGTCACTTATCTTGAAAAATGGCAGGAAGGTGGCACAGAGACCATCAATAGTGTGAAATACTGGGCAAGGTGTTATTTTCCTGGTGAAATGTACAACATTGACACTAATAGTGAGACTCAGCAACAGCAAAGGCAAGCGAGCGGTATAATAGTGTAGAGTCGATAAATGGTGTTTTTAAGAAAGTTAGGAGGTTACCGATTTTGGCCATGATCGATGTGATTGTAGCAAAATTTAGTGAATGGTTTAACAGACATAGGAAGGAGGCTGCATTTGGTCAGGTGACAGAGAAATTAGTGCCTTATGTGGAGAATATATTGCACTCGAGATGTTTAGTTGCCAAGAAACTAGTTGTTGTGGAACTAAACAGTTTCGAGTTCATATACAAAGTTACTGGAAAAGATGGAAATGCTTATGTGGTACACTTGTTACAGAAAAATTGTGAGTGCAAGCATTTTGAAATAGACAAGTACCCATGTGTACATGCGTTAGCTGCAGCTATGAAATGCAACGAACAAAAAGATGGATCCAGGTATTTCCATTACCATGATCAGCGCTCTAGATATTATTGGACTGACCAGTGGAAGTTGGCATACGTGAGGACGATCTATCCAGTACCGACTAGATATCAGTGGTTAATTCCAGCTGAAACATGTGGTTTTGTCTGCAAACCACCAGATTTTCCCAAGCGAAAGAAAGGAAGAAAGAGGGATAAGAGGTTCACATCCACGGGAGAACACCGCCGTGGTAACAAACGGGAGCCAGGACAAAATTTGCAAGGACTTGGTTACATTGTAGTCAAGGTTCGGAGACAAACGCGGAAACGGACGGGACAAACGCTGAGTCAAACCAGACTGTGTAATTTGCATTTTCGAATTTTGGTATTACTGGAACCACTTGGAACAACTACCCGACTATTTGTAATTTGTAATTTCTTTTTTTGGTATTACTGGCACTACTTGGGACAACTACCCGGAGATTTATAAATTATATGTTTACGTATTTGGTATTACTGGAACTACTTGGAACAATTACCCGGCTATTGTCCTAAACATTGTTTGTTCGAGTTTTTGGTATTACTGAAACTACTTGGAACAACTACCCGGATATTGTCCTAAACATTGTATGTTCTAGTTTTTTGGTATTACTAGAACTACTTGGAACAACTATTTGTAAAGTTGTCTATATATTTAATCGGGGTTTAGATATGTTATTTTAAAAAATAACATATATTTCAAGAGTATATGTAATTAAATATCTATATAAATGTATAATATGTACTAAAAATAATGTGTATTCTGTAATTTACAAATGATGAAATCCGTTTGGATACACTTATCCCATATAATATCATAGGTTTTATGGATACTTTAAAACAAATAGCCTTGATATAAACTAATATCATCAAACTTTGACATATCCTAAATATTATTTCACAAATGTGCTACTAATCTCTTTAATTTAGCAGTTATGATTGGTACAACCAACACATGTTTTATTAATCATAGGTAATACCAAAAAAACTAGAATTCTACAAAAGTACAATTGTTTGAAAGTATGACAAATGTATAGTTTTTGGCACAATTTTCAAAATTTTAAAAATTTTGAAATGGCGCCATTTTGAAATATTTCAGAATTCATTATTTTTCTATTTTTCCTACTTAAAAGGACCTCTTCTACTTCGGGATCTACTTCGTTCCTCTTGTACTTATGTCCTCTAAAACTCTTTCTCTATCAACAAAAATATATCCTCCCCTCCCAAACTCTTGTTATGGATCCCGAGAGTTACGGCGAGTTCAAAAGAAACAAAAAATACATTGACATGTTGTATTGCATGGCGGATGGTGACTATGGAATTCCGACGTATCGTTGTCCATGTGGAGGACAGATCGTTGTCACAGATGGGTCTTCTCAAACGAGATACTTTCAATGCGAGAACTTCAAGGTCTGTCTGTTTTGCGATTTCGGTTGAACTTATTCATTTTCTGGGTTTAGGTTTGCCAAATTTGGGTTTCGATTTTACTTTTTTTCATTATGTGTAGAATGATGGCTTACATGTTCGCAAAGTATGGGCGGATGCTGTTGGAGAAGAGATTGATAGGATCAAGAAGGATGTTGCTGCTAGTGGAGAAAAAATTTGAAGAATGGCCCTCCTTGAATTTCAGGTCAAACAGATGCAGATGGAGCTTAAAAAAAATGCTGAAGAAATTGCTAAACTCAAGGAGATTTTAAGAAATGTTTAGTTGCTTCAAAAGCAATGCTGTAAAATAATGATGGATCTAATGTTATTTTATTTTAAATGGAGCCGATTAGTAATACCAGTTTTCCCAGTTGTACGAACAAACAAATTTGTCAACAAACATATTTAGCCGATTAGTATGAATTTATCCGAGTAGTAATACCAGTTTTACCAGTTGTGCCAACAAACAAATTTATCCGATTAGTACGAATTTAGCCGATTGGTAATACCAGTTTTACCAGTTGTGCTAACAAACTAATTTAACCGATAAGTACGAATTTAGCCAAATTTGTAACTAAACACATTTAGCCGATTAGTAATACCAGTTTTACCAGTTGTGCCAACAAACATATTTAGCTGATTAGTAATACCAGTTTTACCAGTTGTGTCAACAAACATATTTAGCCGATTAATACAAATTTAGCTGATTAGTAATACCAGTTTTACTAGTTGTGCCGATTAGTACGAATTTAGCCGATTAGTACTTCCAGTTTTACCAGTTGTGCCAACAAACAAATTTGTCCTCCAACGAATTTAGCGGATTAGTACTTCCAGTTTTACCAGTTGTGCCACCAAATTTGTTCTAAACCGTACAAATCTGGGTTTTAAAACCAAAATATTACAAGCATAAGTTTTAAAACAAGGTCCAACCAAAATAGAGTAGCAAAATAGTACAAGCAAAAGTCTTAAACAAGGTCATAAACCAACCCCTAAACTCTAAGTCTTTTGTTTCTTTCCCTTGGGAGCTCCCTTCTTCTTTTCATCCTTCGTTGACCTTTTCTTCCCTTTCTTATCTTCTGTAAAAGGGGTTTGTTTGTATTGAGATTTTTTACTTGTTCGTCCACTAGTCCTCCTGGTTACACGGGTTGGCCATTCTCCGTCGATTTCCTCGTTCTCTTCTCTATCCTTCTCCACATCAGCTCCTTCCTCTTTCTCGTCTTTATCCTTCTCCACATTCTCTCCTTCTGTTTGCTTCTTCCCAGAACAACCAGCGCCATCATTTGCCTCCTCACCACCGCCATAGTAATCTGCATCAAAGAAGTTAAGACGATTCTCTTCGTCTTCTTGATTTCTGTTCTTCTCTTCACCCACATACAGCTCCATCTTTTTGATTCTTTTGTCATGATCAGCTAACTTATTTCTCATTTCCTTAAACATATCTTCCACTGTTTTCGTCAAGCCCTCTAAGCCTGCCATCAGTTTCTCTAAATCAATTGTAGTTGTAGGAGTCAATGTGGTTTTACGAGCTGATGCGGTTTTACGAGCTGGTGTTTTAGGACCCGATGTTTTTCCCTTTGTTCTTTAGGCTATTGACATATTTATTGAACATTTCCTGAAAGAATATCTCACTTTTCTCCTCCAGCAAAATCGATTTCCAACCATCAACAACATAATCCGCTACATCTTGGTCTATATCCTCATCGTCCATGATGAGAGCCAACAGTTGCTTCTCATCATTCGATGGAGCCAACACACTATGAATATCCTTTTAAAACCGAAAAAAACCATTCAGGTTGATCCTAGCAATGGAGAATATACTCAATTATTTGCTAAGATTTGAGTTCTAACCTTTGTTGCACCAAGTTGAGAATTTATTTCCGAAAGTGTAAAACCTTTCAAATCTCCTTTCTTGAACCTGCTCTTGCACATCCTTGGACAGTTATCCTCGGCTTCTACAACAGCTTCTCTAAAATGTCTACCAAGGGCTGGAATTGCCTCATAAGCTAGTAGCTACGCATTACACAACATGAATTAGTAAACAAAATGAAAAGGAACATACATACGAAGAATCAGACAACACATTATAACAGTTATTCTTATTTACCTCCATAGGAATGATGAAACTAGGAAACACTTTGTTCGAACCTTCAGGCACATGCCCATTTAAATTCTTCACTATATTGCGAATGTCCTTCATATTCTGATCAAGTGCAAATCGTCCCCACGGAAAAGTTTCACACAAATCTAAATCACTAGTCGCTTTTAAAAAGAAAGGCTCTACACCTGCAGCAGTATTACCTGTCTTCGTCTTCCCAACAATTATGTTGGCTAAGAAGTAAAGGACAGCAATATTCATCCTACCTCTCACTTTACTGGATTTCATTGACTCCATCTTCTCATCTACATCCTTCAGTGTTACTTTCTTCTTCCCTTCACCAAAATAATTTGCAACAAACTTACAACTGTCACCACCTAAACTTTTGTAGTTATTAGGGTAGCTTCGACAGTTCAATCCAGAAATAAGACCCAACTCTCTCAAAGAATACCGGATGGGCACCTCATTTACTACAAACCAGCATTCCTTCATTTTGCTTGATGGCACCATACGCAGCATAAGCATCCACATCCTCTGTGATTTATGATTTTCTTCCAAGTACATGTGGAAGAAGTGCTTAAACTGAGGGTGCGTTTTGAACCATTTCAACTCTCTATCATCTAGCACCTTTTCTAACGTTTTCACAACCTCCTCAATATAGCATCTTCCTGACAGCTTTATGTTGACATTAAACATACCGGGTTCAAAGCACAACTTCTCTGGTGGTATAGCTTCGCTTCGATAGTCTACATCTTCTTCCGCCTCCTGTTCATCATCGTCTTCTGCCTCCTGTTCATCATCGTCTTCTACCTCCTCATGTTTCTCACCTTCCTCCTCCTCCTCTTGTTCCTCATTTTCCTCCTCCTCACGTTCCTCACTTTCCTCCTCCTCTTGTTCCTTTTCTTTCTCCTCCTCTTGGTCCTTTTCTATCTCCTCCTTGTGTTCTGATTCTTCCCCGTCCTCTTGTTCCTTTTCTTCCTCCTCCTCTTGCTCTTTCGGATTCTCCTCCTCTTGGTCTTTTACTTCATCCTTCTCTTGGTCCTTTTCTTCCTCCTCCTCTTGGTCTTTCGGAATCTCTTTCTTCTCTTTTTCCTCGGCGTTCACCTACATTAGTTGTACCAATTTCGTTTAGTTGCTCCAGTTTTACTTAGTTACTCCAGTTTTACTTAGTTTGTCCAGTATTACTTAATGAACACAATAATCCATATGGACGAATCATACCTCCACATTTGTATCGTCATCATCGTTGTCGGCTTTCACTTTCTCTTGCCGACCCCTCACCAGTTTGCGTAACTCGCTTAGGGTCGGTGGACCTCCTTCACCCAAACATGTAGGTTTTGCGGAGGTTGGAGGATTTGTGGAGGTTGTCTTCGTCCGAGCCATCCGATCGATGTAGGGGATGATTTGCCGCCAATCGAGTTCTGAAGGCTGACAATTGGGGTTTTTTCGAAATGCCTGATTCCGATTTGGACCGATTTAGGGTTCTTCCTCTCTTCTCCCCTCTTCTCGCGTTTTTTTTTAATTTCTTCGATTTCAAAAAGAGAAGCCGCAAAAGAAAAAAAACAATTACACAAATTACTCGGATCCGACCCAAACCCATCGGAAAGCCCAGTACCCGATCCATTTACTGGTTGGATCTGTAATTACGAAAACTCTATTTGGTTTTTTAGACATTACATTAAACTTTCAAATTAAAAAAAAATTAAAAAATAAATTAATATTACCGGGAGGAGTATTATAGAATAAAATTCAAGAGCATTTTGGGCATTTGTCCAATCGCTTAATACTTAATCGCAAAATTATAAATAATTCTGTACTAATTCAAGGAAAACGAATCTGAAAATGATAACTTTTTTTTATTTTATTTTAATATTTTCTCACTTTTTTCGTTGTCTCTTCTACCTTAAAAGTGTGAATTTTTTAGTTTTTCTCATTTTTAAAAGTAAAAATTTGTTATAGCCTAAACGAACATATTAAGATTCTGAAGTTTAGTTATGTTATAATGCTTATAGTGGCGGACCCAATAATTTTTTTAACCTGAGAACAAAATAATAATATTAATAATAAGTTTTTATTAAAATATAAAAATTCTTACAAAATTATTATATACTATAAAATCATTCTACGATCTTTCATATCCTCAAATTTTTTAATAACATATGCATTTGTAATAGCCTAAAATACATCTTTCTAGACAAATTAAATTAAATTAACAATCATACAAAAATTGATCTCCTTAATTGCGTTGATCTGTCTTCACGATCTTCATTGCTGAAAAACAGCTCTTTATAGTTGTATGTAACTAAAATAAAATAAACAAATTGTTTACTTTATATAATCAAAATAAAAAGAAGACAACAGAAATATTTGAATGAAGACTTATTCTATAAATTTTTCTTTTTAAACATTAGACTTATTCAAAGAAGAATGAGAAGTATATATAATATTACAAAGACTTAATTATGCCCATATCTTACCGATGTGGGACTCTTAATAATACCACTATGTTGTGTCTTATTTTATTAATAATGAAAAATATTTATAGAATTACAAAGATTTAATTATGCCCACAAACTACCAATGTGGGACACTTCAATTTTTGTTTTAATTATGTACAAAAAAACTTAATTTATAGTGGGTGGGTTTTAGTTAAATATTTAATAGATTTTATCAAAAATTAAAGTGCTGTCACAGTATCAATACATGTTGTTGGGGATAAATTTAATCCTTCTTACGTAGACAAATCGTATGTTTGCACGTGGCATCCATGATTTGTTTTGTAGGTACGGCCCCCCTAGGCCAAATTAGGACTCAGCTTATAGCACCATATCTCGACTCCATTCGGATTCCGGAGATCCGGCACAATAGGCCACCTGTTCCTGGTCTCCTTGTGACTGACAGTGCAGGTCACGTGTCAGAAAAAATGAATTCGGAAAATGAGTGGTCAGGAGGAGAGGCTACATTCTCTATCTCCTAGACCTAAGCTTGGTGATCCAAAAGGGTCAGGATATAAAGAAGTGTGGTCTGCACAGGTACCTAGAGAGCAAAGTCATCCATTCTCGGTAGCCCGGTCCCAGTATCGAGGT